TCTCAAGGCAGGTGAGCTGGCTTCTTTGGGATCTGGCCATGAAGTTGCCCCCCCACCCCCCCCAGTCACAGTGTTTTGTGTTCAGGCTATATTATTCTTTCTGCTGGAGATTTTCACATACCATTTTTTAAAACCTAGAGGACAAGTTTTTAGTTCTGAAAAACTATGTATTACTAAACAAATCAATTGTGCACATGTGGTTATCATAAATATCTGGTTATCACGAGGTTACTTTTTGGATAGAAAGGGAAGAGGAGTTTGATAAGGAGTAAAATAAAAGAGCCTGGATGTGCACTCAGAGGAAACAAACAAACAAACAAACCTTCTTTGCTGAAGCATTTCCTATAACTGCTACACTTGATAGGGCTGGTCTGTGTTGCTCCTGTGTTACTAGACAAGACGGGCCTTTCAGGAGAATTCCCATCTTAGCTCCAACTACATACCCATTTTCATCCCAGACCAAATGGCTTTGTTGGATTTTCTGGCTACTGAGCAAACCCAACTTGGAATCAGGGCTTCTTGCCCTCCTGATGGAAGCGCTGAATAAGAAAAGCTACTGCTGGCTTGGACAGTCATGTGAACTTCAGCTGAGGGAGCTAGAACAAGAAGTTTGAATGCCTCAGGTGGCTGCTAGCACCTTCCTAAGATAAATTCCAGACTGGGCTCAGCAGAAACCAGAAGTCTGGGAAATGGAGCAAAGAGCAGAACCTGAAATAGCCTGGTTAACAGTGGCTGAAAGAAACCACGAAAAAAAAAAGCTTTAAAAAAAATAGAGAAAGGTAAAAAGAGGTAAGAGGGGCTCAAATAATCTGAGGTGAGAGAATTGACAGCTAAGGGTGAATGACTTCTTAAGAAGGAGACTCCTGGAAAAGACAGGAGAACTAGGTATAAATACCAGAGTGAGGGTATTGGAGTCTCTAACTTCTCATGCTTATTAGTTTGCTAGTTCTTATTTTATTAATAAAGCAGGTAATATATAATCATTTCCACATCAAATTAAAAGGTCTAAATTTCAACTGAGCAGAGCTCAAATCATTCAAGTCTGTGTGGTGCTACCACTAGCAAGTATCCTACCTCCCAGACTCAGTCTGGGGCTTCAAATACTCCCAAATCCGTGGTAGGCATCCTACATGCAGGCCCTAAGCCCAGAGGCCTTGGAGTTCAGAGGCCCCCCCCAATCTCACTTGGCCTTTCAGCTTGCTAATCCTCTTTGCAGCACAGCCAGTTTCTGCTGGAGGGCAGAAACCCAGCTGTAGCAAGCAACAGGCAGCAACATTAAAGTAAGAGAGAGCTTGGCTAGTACGATGAGTTTCCAGCAAGGGGGGGTGGGGTGGAGAAAGAGATAAAGAAGACCTGTAAGGAATGATAGAAGAGGAGGAAAGATTAAGAGCAACCTTTTAGGATAAAGGAATACAATCAAAGTGAAAAAAACCAAGGGCATTTCAATATTTTTATTCAATTGTTTCAAGGTTTTGGCTCCTTTAGTCTACTTAAAGGAATACCAGAGTTACAACCAGAAGAGGATGCTTAATACATAGCTGTTATGTACCTTTAAAACACACTTTCCTATATACTGCCAGGAAACAGACTTCGCTGAACAGTAGGTGTATTGGTGGTTGTAAGTAGTTTGGGCAGGGGAGAGGTAAGAAGGGAATATATGCCATCAATATTGACAGTCCTTTTAAATTAAGGTTAGGTTTCTAGTCGTCTTGGTAGCCAAGTTAGCTTTCTGAATGCAAGTCAGGAGTGTCCTGTTCCCAAGTCTGAAGCTAAGCAAATCTTGTATCTCTACAGTCTATGCAAGTTTTCCCAAGCTATGTATGGAAGGGGTGAGGGAAAAAGAAAGGAGGGAGGACAAGACTCATCATTCTCCACTTCTGCTTATTTGTTTGGCAAAGAGAAGCTAAGAAGAATCACAATGTTCACTTTGTGAAAGAATAACTTCAGGATCTGCCCTTGTCAAACTATGGCAAGGAAGACCCCCTAAACAAGGGGGTAGAATACTAGCAGAAGTAGGCTGCTTTGGCTCAGCAATGGGATAAACAAGAGACAGAAGGCTCCTCTCCATTCAGCAGCCAAAGGAAGCAGTGTGTGGAGGTACTGAAGTAATTGACTGGACAGAAGCCAACACGAAACAAGCATCCTTCTGCAGAGCTTGCACACCTCAACTCTGCCTAACAATTTTCACACTCCAGTCTCGATATGAAATACTGACTAGTAGGCACCTTGTGAAGTTCTCAAGCCTAGTACTGTTAGAACCACGGCACAAAGACAAAGCAAAAATTCAAAGTAGACTAAATTATATGCTCTATACACAAAAAATGGAAAGCTATCTAGTTTCAGTTATTAGTAGAGCTCCATATTAGATGCCATATGTGGGTTGTTTTTTACTCCCCCTCTTTTGTAACATACAACAACTCAAAAGTTAATTAATTTCATTTCATGTTTCTTTGCTATCCAGCATTTTTTGGCATTAGGAAAAAAACAGAGAACAACCAACAGAGTCAATTATTTAATAAAAATTGGCCAAACCATTCACCTATCCATTGCAAGTCATGCTGCTAATCTGTGCAATATCTGGTACCAGTGAAAGCAATAGCAGCTAAAAGAAAACTACCTTAAACAATTAAGGTGGGGGGTGGGGAAGAAAATCAACCCAAGTACACAAGCTTGTGTGGAAATGTTTGTTCAGTTAGTGAAATAAAAAATAATTTGATTTTATAAATGGATTTTGAATAAACTGAGTCTCTATGATAAATTCTATTTGTGGTTAAGGGCTAGTCTATAGTTCAGCATCTTTAATGTCTATATAACAGAATAGGAGAAGCATTTATACTGGCAAAAGGAGGAGTTCTTCTGCCTCTCTTTTTGGGATAAAAGTCATTCTTGTATAGAAGGACAGCATAAAATCCAGTCATTTTTTTCTGATATAGAGGACTTTTGCAGTCTGCACAACTCTTCCTAAATGCACAAGTGTGTATGTGCCAACAGAGCAGGGGGGCTGGACCCAATGATCTCATGAGGTTCCAGTCCTAAGCTTCTGTGAATCTGTGAACAGTTAAGCCCCTTCTCTGAAGGATAAACACTTTTCTAGCAAAGAGCTTTAGCCAGGTAAAGCAACATCTAGACTGGGGTTTTACCAGTATAGATATCTTTAAGAGTGCTTTTTTTAAAAAAAAAAAAAATGCATCATGTGACTTACTAGACAGCTATGCCAGTAGTACAGACCTGGCAGTGGAGCAGCATAACAGGTAAGAAGGTACTCTGAATGACATAAATGAACTGCCAACCATTAAGTTTCCCCAATTTCCACAGATACATTCTTTGGATGTTGTTTAAGATAGCCTCTTGCCCCTTTCAGTCGGAGTTATCCAAAGAGAGTTCTGTGACAGCATTATCACAACCACCTTCCTGCGCACTCTTTGCCTGCATTGCAAAAACTTGATTTGTGACTGGCATTTTGAAACTTATGTGAGCATAAAAAACTAAATACTAGGAAACATGCAAATCTATACCTAGAAGATAATTACCCTGAAAGGGAGATTACATATTTACTTTCCAGCATGTGTTTCACTGGAGAAGAGCAATAGCGATGGGAAGGGGAGAAGGCCCAGGTCAGCTGCTTCACCTCAACATCCTTCTTCAACCATAAAGGATGCAACTTTATAAACAGGCTTTCAGAGAGTAAGAATGCTAGTGACAAGTGCCACTATCATTTACCAGTTAGACTGCTGTCCCTATACGGTGCTCATTTCAGATCGCAGACTTTCACATCAAACTCAAAAGCTTTGCACAATACGACATTTTCTCCAGCAATATTACCTGCAGCTCCAGCTGTAAGGTCAATAGCAGCCTGAATAGCAGGATTTGTCCTCATGTTTCTCACTTGCTATCTGGTTGCTAAGGAATGAGAAATCCACACGGTCACATTAGGTATCAAGATGCATATACCTATGTAGGGGAAAAAAGGAGGAAAAAAAAAATGCATCAAAATGATGGCTACAAGGATCACCAATGTCACATATGCCAGATTAATTACTTTCATAATGTATTAATTACTTTCATATATTAATACACACTTCATTTCTCTTCACTTTTTAAGAAAAGTTATCAATAAAAAGGGGTGGGGGCATGAACAGAAATTGAAGGTCAGGCTAGACTTAGACTGCCCTTTTTTGCCCTTACCAAGTGACCCTGGGCAAGTCACCTAGTCTCTCTTTCCTTCTCTAAAGAAAGGAACATAGTACTTCTTGACTTCATGAGGAAAAGATGGAGTAGGAGTACCACACTACAGATCATAAGCAGCTCAGATGCTACATTAGGGTCCATATAAATTCCTTGGTAAACAACAGTATCTATTCCAAGGACTAATGAAAAATGAAAAGAAAATACATGGAAGCAATTGTGCTTGTCCCATGTTCCCAGTGGAGGTCTCTTTAAAGGAAGCCCTGTGTTCAGCAACTTTTTGTAAAGTGAAAGTCAGGTTTTCCCTCTGCCTCTCAAGAAAGAAGCTAGCACAATAAACAGCCTTCACGGGGCAAAGTCTTCAAATAAAACACTCATGCAACACAAGTCTCCATGTTAGTGCAAAGGTTATTTCATGAAAAAAAGACTAATTTGCTTTGAACTAACCAGCTTGTTAGGAATTCAAAAAGTTTGCAGCTGCTGATGCTACTGAACATCCAACATCTTTTTTTAAATACTAGAGAGTGACAAATCTTTCTTCCTTACATTATTTTTCAGCATGTTTTCAAGTAAAGGGGAGATCTTTGTAAGAGTGAAAATCCTCCTCAGTTCTGAGCAAACTATTTAAATCTGAAGCATTCAGGGGGACAAACTAGTCAGATAAGCAGGAAGCAAGGGGGAAACCAATTCATACTGCAAATAAAAAGATTCTGCTCAAGGAGATGTACTGCATCTCTTGCAGAGTTCTTGCATTATGGATACAAATCTGTGCCGATAGCCTGAGAACAAGGATCTCTACTTTAAAAAAAAAAAAAATCCCTAGTTTTTGGATACAAAACAGTAACCCAAAATCCACCTGTTTCCATGATTAAAATGAAACTCTACTATATAAGATTAAGTTAAACTTAAAATTATCCTACAATTAAAATGTCACTACAGTCCACTCAGTATTTTGCAATTTTGATCTAGGACACAAGTAGAAGAAGAAATCAATGAAAAAAAACTATGTCTCCAAATGACAGAAGTCACTATGAAGAAACAGGTCCCTCTCCACAGTGGAGCCAATCATGAACACTCAGCAAGCTAAAAATGAAATATATGCCATCTTCCATACCAACTATCAGATATTCATTGAGGAGTTGACAAAACTAATGGAAACAAAAGGAAATGTTTTCAAAGAAAAGTATATTTGGCTAGGAATTTAAAGTACCATGCCTTGGTTAACACAGATACCCTACTACACTGGTAGCTTAAAGAGGAAGTACTGAAACTAAAATTAAGACACCAATGCATATACTCCTTCCTACGTTTCTTTATTTGCCTGGTGTTTAACAGATCTATAGGTTTTCTGCAGGCACTGGCTACTTGGGTAATTAAACTACAAATCCAAACTAGACAAGGAGTCACCTCTGTGATTATGAGGAAATACTTGGCCATTCTAATACTAGCATCAAGTGCCTTCCATCTTGATTATGCCTCAGCTGTCAAAGATAGGCAATATTCACTCTTTCTGAGAGAGAGGCAGGACATAACCCTGGACTTCCTTGAGGTCACAACAAGGCAGCACAAAAAGGATTACAATGTAGGAGTCATGAAAGTGTCTCTTACACGTCGTGCCAACATGAAGAAAGAACATCTTGCATTCAAAAACTTGTCTAATGCTATCCCAGCTACAACACTGGTCCAATAAAAGATATTGTCCTAAGAAATCCTTGCCTCTTGCACAGCACTGTAATTAGGTCCCAGGCAACCTTTTAGTGAATTGGGCCCCCCTTCACTAGAAATAATGATGATACTCATAAATAAATAAGTTACCATTTTTCAGGCCCCTTTTCTGTTCAGGCCCTGGATGGCCACCCAGTTCGCCCATGCCTGTGTCCGTGTCCGGCCTTGCTTTTGCAGCATGAGCAAAGCTACTTTTGCCCATGCCAGAACCCAGGTTTTGGGGAAAAGCAGACTCAAAATCATGAGGCTGCCCTATTCCTTTGGCTATGGTGGGGGAGCATTATAAAGGAAACCGAGGGGGAACGCCCCAAAACCCCATCAATTTCCAGAGCTGGAGACACACAGGAAAGGAGGAACAGCTGTACCAGATGACAGCTGGCAGGCGGTTCCCTTACTCAGTTCAGCATGGGTGCCCAAGCATCACCTCAGAGCCACCTCAAGAAAACAGATGCTCACACCAGGAGCCAAGAGCACCACAACCTCAACCATGCGGCAGCCTGCTCGGAGGGCAAGCACCAGGCCCTTTTAAGTGAAGAGAAGAGGACCTGGCCTGCAGCCTGCTCTGCCTTGAGCTGCAGACCTTGCAGGACTTCCCACAAGGACAGGACCCTTCAGTCCCCTCAAGATCCATCAAGGAGCTCTGGGGGAGCCCATCCCCCAGCAAAGGCCTCTCCAGGGCATCACAGGACCCCAGCAACGCGGCCAGTCCCACCCCTGCTCCGAGCAGGAGCATCCCCGGCTGCGTCCTCCCCGGCCAGCCCTGGCGGGGAGCAGGGCAAGGCCAGGAGTGTCCCCAACCGAGGGCACAGGAGCGCCCGGAGCAGGCCAGAGGCAGCGGGCTGGAGCCCGGCTCCGCCTGAACCGCCCCGAGAGCTGCCCAGCCACGTGGGCGCTGGGCCGAGCCGGCCTCCAGCAGCGCCCGCACCGCTCCCCGCCAGCCCCGCCACGCGGGGA